TATAAAGGGGCTGATTTCATCTACCCCCCCCGAAAAAAAAAACCTTTATTGCGAATGAATAAGTTTAACATGTATCAACTTATTCATTCATCTCCTGCAGAGTCAATACATTTTTTAGCATTTTCATACATTTTAGCATTTTCATGTAGAAATTTTTCACGTAGCTGTGAATCTATTCCTGAACACTCACAGTGACGGTATCGTTATCAGTAAACTGCATGCCTTCCAAGCAGGATTTTTAAGACGGTGACTCGGCACTAAAGTAGTGGACTCATGTTTCATTATGATCACTACGGACTTCCAATATGCATACTTTTTCATCTTCAAACCGTCGTAGAAGAGAATTGGCTGTTTGCATGCGCATCACTTTGTTCTCGTCTGTTACCGTGCATGGAATCCACCGTACATACACCCTGCCATACAGCAATTTTTTTTTTTTTTCACAATGGTTAATACCAGCGTTCTCAACCTTTTGACTAACGCGTACCATCTGAACAACATATGAAAAACTTTAGTACCATTACATTTTATAATGATTAGTTTTCAATTTCTGAAATGAAATATTAAAAATCTGAAAGCTTTCAGATTTCACATTACGCTTTTTTACCGTTTTGTGTGTTACCTTTATTTATTAAATATCGTGTTCTTCGCACTTAACCATGAAATTCAATTCAACTGCAATATCGCAAAATAATTTAAAAATGAGCATATCTTTAGAATTTCCGATACACAGTGTCGCGCGATAGAGACGAGGTTTTTTTTTTTTTTTTTTTTTTTTTTTTTTTTTTTTTTCTCTTCCCTCTCCCCTTCGTACAGTGTTGCCATTGCTCGCCTTGAAATCGCTGAGTTTGTTAATCAAAAATTCGTTAAAGTGTTACAAAATATGAAATCGATAATAAAAAACAAATTTCGGCTTCCAGATGCTCATATTCGGTGGAGGATTACGTTATTCAAAATTTGATGGCTCTAGGTACCTTGTTTTATCACGATGCGAGAAACATGTATATATACTATATATATATATACATTTATGCAGATTCTTCATTATATAATTTCTTTAAATATAACACAGAGCGGTAATATTTGGTGGCAACAATTTGAAAAGTGAAACGGACATTTAAAGTTTTCAACGCAAAATGCCAAAACGAAATTAATAGCCCTTCTGAGCTAAAAAAATATATTTTCCCATTTGTACAAACTATTGTTTATTTTTATTAAATATGCACACATAAAAAATATCAGATTAAAAACTGGTTACCATTTTAATCATCAAAATTCATATATAATATTTTAATTCTAAAATTTAGGGTGAAACTTGGGCCTGCTGAAGAGAGCTCAGTTTCTTCGTGTCTGGTCTTACTTCAGTGAGTTTTAACCCTAAATTATGATCCACTTTTAATTTTGCTCTGTATTTAATTTTTAAATATGACATGGAAGAAAAACCCTAGTTCACACAAATAGGTTGTGCAAAAAGGCAATAAAAATTTAATAGCTTTATTCGAAATGCCTTTAAACTCTTTTTTTTTTGGGGGGGGGGGGGGTTCAGCCAAAAATTAACAAGTGTGTTATTTTTGAAATCTTGAGTTAAAGTTCGATCACAGGAACTTTCTATCAATTGTTATTTTTCTTCACAAGATAAAATTTCAGGTACATTTGAATAAAATGGATTTTTAATCCAATTTTCATAATCCTCGCTAAAATACATGTTGAAATTATTTACCAATGAAAAACAATGACTTTTAATTTTCTTCTTTTATTTCCAAATTATTTTCGGTTAGAAAATTTTCTAAAAGTGGTAAAAGGCTTCAAATATTATTACCTAATTCTTTGATTTATTAGCTCGAGTTTTATTTTTTTTTTTTTAATTATCATTGTATTTATTTTATCTTTAATGTAAACAAATTAACACTCTGTCCTTGTAATCCTGTAGATTTTCCAAAATTATCAGCTAAATATATTCTAAACGCGCCAACCATAATTCATTAAATAAACATTTTTGCAATTCAAATTTTGAATCAGAGGAACATTCGAATTTCTGATCGAAGTTCAAAAAGAATAACCACCTTACTTCAGAATATAACAAAAGAGTTTCATGTTCACTGCCCATCTCTTGGCATAAAATCGCGAATATTCTTGAATTTAAATGTCGGCTTAATTCAGCAATTTTTACAGCTTGATTCAAAACGATTTTCAGGTTTTCGGGTATTGTTTTGGCTGCTAAAGCTTCATGATTAATGGAGCAGTGAGTAAAGTTAGTTTCGGGTGTGACTTTATATGAGAAATAATACCGGAATGTTTTTCTGTTAAAACCCGAGCTCCTTAACTGCATACGGCAATGCACTTATTCCAAGAAATATCATTCTCAGACACCAAACTATTAATTACTTTGATAATTTCATTTGCACTTGTTCTATAATTTTAAAATTAAATAGTTAATTATTATCAAATTAATTATAGATATTTAGTAATGTTTATAAAATGTTATTTAATCAATAATTGTTATATAATTAATTAATTATAATTTAATTGATAATTATTAGATAATTATTATTTTTTGAAATAATTAAAGATTGAAGTAAATTAAATAATTTAAAATTAAATAAATAAAATGAAAAAAAGAGATAAATTGAAATTTAATGGGCGATTTTTAATATAATATTATTGTTAAAATACAATTTTCGAGATAAAATTTCTACTGAAATTGTCATTCAATTACATAAGAGAAGTGCCACAGCTTTTTCAGAGTTCCGGTGCGTTCCGGCTAGAATTATGATTTATTACAAAAACTAAGAAGCACCGGAGCCAAGATCCGGTGGGCTCCGGCCTGATTTAAGCTCTGATCGTAGAGAGAAAAGTTTTTTTTATCATCACAATAATTAAATATACTTAAAGTATAGCTGATGAAAATTCCAGGGCGAAACAGAATGAGGGTATGAGTGGGTGGAAACAAAAAATGAGGGGAATCTTGGTGAGGAAGAACGTTCTCTTTAATCGCAGCTCTCTAATGATATAATTACAGCCATCAAGCAGATGTGTGGCAGGAGTAAAATGAGTCCTAAGGATGAATCTGACTCCTAAGGATGAATGTAAAGTTGCTGTTTATGCTTTTCCCCACTTCCCCATTAGTGGATACTGTGGGAAGACGATGTATAGGACGTGCTCGAACAGTTTTATCTCAGTATTTCGCTCTTATTCTACTCGCTGTCGCTTAACGCACGTTTAAGAACACACATTTTTCTTCCTGCGAGGATAACTAACTGTAAGCTTCGATAACAATACACTAGATAGAATGGCATGGCGAGTAATTTACGTGTTCCTAAACAAATTCTCCCAAATTTATTGCCCTTTTTAAAGGGAAATGTTTCTGCATGTGAGTGAGGGGACTTTAGTTGAAGGTCTCATGTTTTCATGAGTTCGTATTTCTAGGGAAATAGAGTACTGCAAGGTCTGCTTATTGTTAAACTAAAATGTTACGAATTCTAAATTTTTTCCCTTTAAATTGTGATTCAGTTTTATAAAAAGAAGCAACAGAGCTCATCTTATTTAGGGCTCCGGTGCACTCCGTCTAAAATTGTAATTTATCTTAAAAACTGAGAAGTACCAGAGCTAGGCTCTAGTGGGCTCTGGCATTATTTAAGCACTGCTGATATATGATGAATATTTTCTCAGAGAAATAACAACTGCTGATATATGATGAATATTTTCTCAGAGGAATAACAATCTTAAGGCTTTGTTTAATAAGGGATAAATACATCTTTATGTTCCACAAAAAGAACTTGCAGCATTATGAATCATTGCAGACACTTAAATTGATATTGAGTACTTTTGTTTGAAAATTGTATTAATTTAAATACTTAAATTATGCTTTATAAAATTTAGTATTACCACAGATGCTAGTTAATGTGATTGTCACGGTTGATGTTATCATTTGGACACTGTTATTGAACTGCTAAATTCCAAAAATTGCATACGAAAACATGGAAATCTTTCGTTTATTGTTATCAACAATTCGGTTAATATGATCAAAATATTATAGAATAACTTTTTTAAAACTAAAGTCGACAATTAAGGTGAAAATAGATTATGTCTACTGATAGAGAAATGTCACCAAGTAAGGGATTAAATCACCAAATACCTTAGTTCTGATTTTAATCAACCATTTAAAATTAAGGGGGGAGGAATGCAACCTTAGTTTCTGTATATTTTAAATAACTATCAATTTTGTGGTCAATCAGGCATAAGATCCTCTTCATGAGAAGCAAAAAAAAATTGTTTCTGCAGACCTCCCCCCCTTTTTTTTTCCTTGCTCCTGAAAAAAAAATCCTTGAAAACATCTAGCCAAACTAACGTCACTTTTTTTGCCTAATTATTTAATTTTTCATTGGCATGGTCTCTTGATGAGGGATGCTGTCCAAGTATTTAGATTTGGGGTACAGCATAAGTCAAATCATTTCCAGAAACGTTATATGAATAGTTCATAAAAAAAACTTTTGCATTGAAGACAGCGAACAGTTCATAAAAAAAATTTTTCCTTTTGTAATTAAAATGCTGTGAAGGTTTTGATATGTTTCTAGCTATATTAAATTAATTAAATTTCATTCCAAACGACTTCCCCCCCCTCATCGTTTAATGTTATCTTTCAATTACTATTATTTAAATAGTTGTGGACAATCACAATCACGTAAAACAGTGCCTCCTTGTATAAGTGTTTTTCTATCTTAGGAAAAATGCATAAGATTATCATTATGTGTAACAAATTCAACAATTTATGATGCAAATTAATGCTGGTAAATGTTTAATGTAAGGTAAAGATCATTCAAATTTACTATAAAGATACGTATTTTGATGCAAGAAAATTATTTCTCCAGGAAAAATTATGAAACTTCAAATTATGAAGTCAAATGCTCGTAAAAGCCTCTAAAATATTTTATACTGGCTTACTGCAAACTTAATGATTATTGCATAAAATATAGTTGACTTTTAGAGTAATAATAAGAAAGTATTTATAAATACACTTTTATTTAACAACAAAATCATCTTAAAAGACTTATTCAAGAATGCTAAATCAAAGTTATGTTTATAGCCAATTTAACTAAATTTAGAGAGTTTTTATTATGCTGATTTGAGAAAACCCGACTGGATGAAAGCCCTTCCCCAAAACAAACACTGTGGAAAATACTGATATGACACGAATCAAAGTGAAATGACCAACACTGATAAAAGCATCAGGATTTAGCAATTCAGAAACGTATTTTTCCTAATTAAACTAAACATGAATAATGTAATTGTTAATTCCAGCTTAGCATTATACAGAATGAATAAAGTAATACTTATCTGAATTGAATAAAAGATTTCAACGCATATCCTAATATTTTAAGATATTTATTGTTGATACTTTTTATTGTGTTCTTTAATTAAATAACATCCCGCCCCCTTTTTAAGACTGAAACATATGTATAATTTAGCTTTGTAACACTAAAAATAGTTTTTGAGAAACTTTAAATGATATTTTTCATTTTTATATACATATATAAAACACATAAATAAATAAAATTAATTTTCGGATTTATTATCACAACTTCATAGCTAACTGTTTAATCAGAAAGCAAAAAAGTCTGTTTTTAATCTAATAAAATAAACAAAAAACAGTAGTGATAAAACATCTAAACAGACATATTTATGAGACATAAAAAAATCACTCAGATATTCTTTTTACTATCATAAATATATTATACTGATAAAAAAATGTGTCCATTTATTCACAAGGCTTTTATCAATGTCAGCTTTTATCAGTGTAAACTTTTACCTGTATGCACTTTCGTCCATGTGGGTATTTATCATGCAGGGATTCATTACAGAAACGTTTTCTCATATGATTTCATCTAGTGGGGTTTTGTCGAGGAACATAAATTACTAATGCAGAAAACCAACAGTGTTTTGTTACAGAATGCTAAGTTATGCATTAATTACAAAAGAAAAAATAAAGGATACATCAAACATTTATCCTAATATATACAGAGATACTTAAAGTAAAATTCAACTGATAACAATTTCATACAATTCAAAGGATGCAGAAAATATAACTTAATATAAAATTTTTAATTAAATAATACAATTTTTTAAACAACTCATTTAAAATTTATTTAGAAACAAAAATATAATGTATACAAAAGCTTTATAATACAATGATCATGTAAAGAACATTTATTTTAAACAACACTGAAACACACACATGGGATGTAGAAAATAATGGAAACATTTTACAAAATAAGATATTGGGCACATTATACAAAGGTCCACCAGTGGCCAAGCAGATTTGCTGAACGGTAGTATTTTGACCTGTGTCAATTCCAAGTGAATGGGCTTGCTGCATGGGCTACTTTCATGGTTTTCCTCATATGTAATGCGGATCGAGGCCAGTTTTCTCTCGAAAATCCTCCAGGAAGGGATACCTCTCCTAAGGCAGACAGCCGTTTTGTGTTTTGCCAAAATCAAATAAACCCAGGTTTAATACAGAACACGACAAGCTTTCAGAATTAAAGCCTTCTTGGAATGGATGCACAGAAAATGCTGGATGGTGATCAGTGATATGTTACGGCAGTCTTCAAAGAAAAATGAACTCCATTTCCTTGGTGTACACTCAAGCAAGATAAAAGATTTCACCAATTTCCAACACAGAAAACAATGACTTTATGACATTTAAGTCTTGTAATTACACAGGCCAGGGAACATACTATGTACTTAAGTTCCCAGTTAATGAAGTAGGGTGCTGTGGTCTTGAAAGGTGCATCTATTTATAGGAAATAATGTCTATGTTTCTGAAAAGTCACAAAATGGTTCTATTCTTACTCTTAAGGGGAGAATGAGACTTTCTAAAACTAATGCCTAATTATCTCAAACTTGATAGAATCTCTAACATGACTACCTGATGAAAGAAGGATATTGGTTGAAAAATTTTTCATCATTTACTATGTATACACTAAAGTGTTACACACTAAAGTGGTGAATAGTATGCAGTTGATCTATTGAGTTTCAACTCATTTTTTCACTGATAAGCATTCCATGTTTTATGTTTCTGGAATCACTGCGGTTTCCATTTGCATTCATCTGGGATACAGAGTTTTCTGCAACAGCAGCTCTGCTGGATATACTTTTCTTTCACACTGTTCGGGTCAAAATTTAGGTTGGTAGAAGTATATTAAGTCAAGCAGATCCTTTTGCTATCATGACCTTCTTTCAGATAACAATTATTATTATGTCTGTCTCAATCTTACTGAAGCTCATTTCCCTTCCACAAATGTATCACACAAATGACACACTGCCCTAGACAACACACGCTATTATGATTTTTGAATCAGTCTCTATAGATAAACCCATTATAAGCACCAAATACACAGTCACATAATCTGCTCTGTGTAGAGTCAGGTTGTTCACTGTACCAACTTATTTTTGAAATCCCAAGTTAGTCTCAGCCCAAATTACATTCAGACAGCCTTCTGAAATTATAAATAATGTAAAAAAATATGGTAGATACTTTAGTGTTTTGCTTAGAATCGACAGAAACAAAATTAAGATTCTAAACATGCATTTTCATCCTTCTGTACAACCCCTGCATATTCACATTAAATAGAAAAAAGGGGTTACATAAATTGCAGCATAGTTACAACTCTTCAGATTATGAAAAAAAAAAACATCATTAATCTTATCAGTAAATGCAATTCATCTCAGCAGTTAATTTATTGGTCTTTCTTTACAATCATTAACTTCCTAAACAGCATATCAGTTTTGTGTGGTCTCTAATACATTACTTTTACTGATTTTACTGATTTAAAATTTTCTTATTTTCTTTTAAATATCAACCTAATGTATAGAAGGATCAAAAACCAAAGAAAAATAAGCAGTTGTGCAAATCTAAAAAATAAATGTTGTTTACGTGTAGATCTTCATGAAGAGATCCATAAAACTTTGCTACTCATAGGGTTAACTACTTGCTAATTTCTATACACAGAACGGTAGCTTTAAACAACTGTAGCATCTTAATGAAAATACTGGAAAACTCTAATGTGCTAAAATTAATATTTATTTTGAAAAGTAAATTTCTACACTTTCTTCCGAATAAATGAAATTTTAAAATTCCTTCAGCTACAAATGCACACTTGATGCCTATTATCAACACTTAAAACAGACCAATAATACACACAAATATTTTTTTTTCTTGTCCTTTATGCAATAATACACACATTAGCATATTAGCACAAATACAATCATTTATCACACCCTCTATAAATTATAAATAATTATGGCTTCCTTACACTGATCTTTACATTTGAGAAAACTAACAACCTAACCAAAAGGGAATTTTCTTGAAAATTTTAAGAAATTTCTACATACATTACTTTCAAGCACCCAATAAAATGCAGTGTTTCAGAATTTTTTTTTAAATGAAACATTACGATATACAAAATATATCTTTGCAAATTATTAACAAATAACTAAACAAAAATACTTCCCCGTACATATTTATAAATACATTCATTTTAAATTTTGAAAGACTACTCACACTTATTTTCAAGCAACTTCCAAAGTTTGTGGAAAAAATCCAGATATGAAACATTATAGCAAAATGCTTTCCAAATCTGCATTTAGCATTTATAAATATAATTCATACAAAATATATCCAGAACAAAACACTTGTCAAACATGTTAACACATTAATTCATTTAGAGTTCTTTTTATAAGTCCAAAAAGGTGTATTTTCATAAGAACTATGTCCATTTGAATCATTGATATTAACATAATTTTCTAGCATATCTCTTAATTCAGTTATAGCTTTCCTTCTGCCATTCAGTTTTGTCTCCTGGACACATTCCCTCAATAAATCTTCCATACGTTCCTTTATTTTATGAGGAATGGAATGTAAAAGACCTGTTATTAAAGAACATAAATAAATATAATAAAATATTTTATATTACACATACACAAATACACATGTTGTGTGTGTCCTGTGCATGCATGTATGGGTGCACAAATGTGTAAATACAGTGAATCTTATCGTTTGTATGACTACCCTCGTGCCACACGATTTTGATCTCTAAATTTAACTACATTTAAGAGGTCACTGAGTCACTATTTAGTTAGCTATACAGGTCACTCAGGAATTACCACAAGAAGGTTCAATGTATATTATGCAATTACATACAGAGGTTGTTCGCACATTTTTAGACGATTTTGGTAAGCGGTAATAAAAAATCGTTTGTTGCAAAAGAAGTAATTGCAATTGTAATATGTTTTTAAATGCCAAAATTATTGTCTGAAATTATCGCTGGAAAATTTGGTTGACCAAAATTATCGCTTCAAAGTTTGGTTTTTATTCAAAATGGCGAATTTAAGAAAGCAGTGTTTCGAAGGCTACATTTACGCTCTTTCCGAAGAGAAATATGCATACTCCGTTATCCAAAAACAATGTGAGAGTCATGGTTTTGTGATATTTAAAGTGACGATAGGTAATATCATCAATAAAAAAGGAAAAAAAGTCAAACTGGAGCCTCAAGTGGGACAAAAATTCCAAACAAGTATCCAAGGAAAAAAACAGTCGAATCTTCGACTATTGCAAAGGTACGTTGTTTAATGTTAAAAGAAAATCCCCCTAGTCAAATGACAGTTGCAAAATCATTAAAATGCTCGGTGTCCACTGTAAAAAAAAATGATAAACATTGATTTAAATCTTAAGAAAGCGAAAAAACGCAATGTGCATCGTCTTCTTCCAAAGCATATCGCTCAATGCAGGACACGCTGCAGAATTCTATATGAGAAACACTTACCCAAAGAAAAATGGAAAACAATTGTCACAATAGATGAAGCATGGGTGTATTTAAATGATTGTAACAAAAAAAAGAGGCATTTATTATCATAAAAGGGGAGAAAAAAATTTAAGTACATGGCTCAAAGAATCGAAAGAAAGTTTTTTAAGGGATTCATGATTGTTGCTGGTTTTTCTTATAATGGCAAGTTAAAAATAAAGAGAGTGCAAAAAAAAATGTCAAGATTAACTCCAAATACTATCAGGAACATATTTTATCGCCAATTTTTCTGAATGAAATACCATCGCTTTACCCACAGTGACATCAATCTGTGAGACTCCATCAAGACAAAGCTAGCAGTCACACATCAAAATCCACTGTAAATTTCCTAAAAGAAATGGAACAAAAAACTGGTATCAAGGCCATAACCTTCACTGATATCCCTACTAAATCTCCCGATGTGTCACCTATGCATTTTTTTTTTTTTTTTTTTTTTTTTTTTTTCGGACTTTTAAAAACTGCATTATCCAAACGTTGTCCCAAAACCCTAACAGGACTCTGGAAAGGTGTTCGAGAGGAATGGGATAGAATACCTCTTCTGCCACTTCAAAAGGCATTATTATCCTGGAAATTGTGGTGTCGAAAGATAGTTCAGAATAAGGGATGTCAAATAGAAGATTTAAAACACAAGAATTTTATGTAATTTAGTTTTGTGAATACAATATACATCGTCTAAAAAATGTGTGAACAGCCTCTGTAGGCATAAAGACATGTATATTTAATCTGAAGTAATAGATTTTCTTTATAACTCACAAAACCTTAACGCTATCACAAAATTACCACTTAACACATTGACTGCCACGGCACTTTTCAGATTCCGGTCCAAGAAGCCAAATTGATTTAATCATATTATATTATTAAAAATACTAATTATGATTTGTAACAGTCATTAAAAAGTTTACAGAATCTTTTTGGGGGGAGAGTAAAAAAAGGGTCCTTTGAATTATCTCGTAGTCAGCTTTTGTTAGACAAAGCTCTTCGCAGAAGCCCACTATGAGCTGATTCATACAGACATGCTTCGACTTGTCGCCTCAGTACAGCTAAAACGAGCACTAAGCAAGTAAGTAACTCGTAGCGGCGCAAGAGTAGCAAGTTAAGAAACTATGAGATAACTCATATTGGGTGTCATGAAGAAGAGCGTTAATATGAGTTATCTCATGTTGGGCAGTCAACGTGTTAAGCTATCTGACTAAGAAAGAAAAATTCAATTCACACAAAACTGTTACACACAAGCAGACTATTATTACAGTTAAGAAAAATAAGGAAAAATACAAATCTTTAAATGATTTCTATCGAATCAAAATTAAAATTTACTGCCAAAAAGTGCATTAACATATTTCCGTGAGGCTGAAGAACTTTTACATTAACTTGTATTTACAACTTCACAAGCATGAATCTAACATGTTTAAGATCTAAATTTGAATTAAGCCTTAGATTTTTCAATTATGATGCCACTAGTGTGGAAAAGATTTCTGAAAATAGTCGCGTATTTAGTCTGATAGTAAAAAGTACTATATTTTTTTATTTGCTTTAACAAAAATAATTAGAGAGAGTCCATCAGTTTGATCAGTTAATCAATTACTTTTACAAATTACATTTTTATTTTTAGTAGCTCATAAAAAAGACTTATATATGACTGATTGAACAAGAAGAACTTTAAATTTTGCACTTTAAAAAAAAAGAAAGTCTTAATTTATGCTCACTAAGTTTAGAAAGTCTTAATTTATGCTCACTAAGTTTAATAAACTTATTGCAATAAGAAATGAAATTTCTAGCATTTACTTTAGCAAGTAAAAATGTAGAATACATCAGCTTACTGCATAAAGTTCTACAATAAATACATAATTTAAATATCTCAACTCAGTCTTTTGCCAGTTACTGCATCATTTTAAGAAGAATTCTAGGGGAAAATAGAAAACTTTTTACAGATCTAAAATATCAGCATTACATTTTTACACATTTTAAGTTGTTGAAAGTATATGAAAAGTATATGTAAACATACGGAAAGTTTCACTTCATGAAAGAAAGACTTGAGAAACATAAAAGATTAAATTTAGACAGCTTGAATGCATTCATGGAGGCTTTTCCAACAATCAATATTCACATTATACATGATACAAACAAAGCAAAAAAAAAAAAAAGATACAACCAACTTATTTGCCCCATAAATAATAAACTAAAGATAACCACCCATGTTTATCCATTTGCCCACTGTTGTCCCAAATAATGAAGCACTTTTGAATCTAGCCGTGCGATTAAATTATAACATGCTTTTGAAGAAGGTGAATGTCATACCCCACATCAACACTCTGAAAGATAAATAAATTTTCTTCTAAAAAATCACAAAAATGCTGTAAAGATTACAACATCTATTTTCTTGTCTTGCCGAGGCTCTCAAAGAAATTAATAATTACGGCTACTAAACCAAAACATTTAATTTTGAATGATTTCCTGACATTAAAATATTTGACAAATACACTTAAGATTTTAGCAATGAATAACTTTTTTTTTTTTTTAAACTCAGTTAAAATACATAGTAAAGATTAGAATAAAATGATTTACTGCTAAAGAATAAAAAAATTTACAGTAAAAGAATAAAAAAAATTTACAGTAAAAGAATAAAAAAAAATTACAGTAAAAGAATAACTTATTAGACAAGCAGTTTTCTACACACATAAATATTAGTCTGTACTTTCTATTTTTTGCAATTTCCAGACTAATGAATCTGCCTATAAGCTTTAAAAATTTTAAGTTGTTTATATAAAAGCCTGATAAGTGGCTGGAAAATCCTATTTTTAAATAACTGTTTATAAAAACTTGTATATGTTAAAAAAGTTAAATTTTAACTGTTTAATGGTTTTCCCTGTATGTTGTATAGAAGTGCAGTGTAAATTGCTGTAAGTGGTATAGGTGTCTCATTTCCAGACTTAAACATTTAGACTATCCTATTTTATTTATTTTAGCTTATTTTCTGTTTTCAGTTGTGTTACCTGACCATAAGAAAAAATTTCATTAAAATAAGGTTTTTTTTCATTAATTTTTTTGTTGCTGAAATCATAGTGAAACAGCCGTTTCCTTTCTGATATATTGCATTTGCTAAATGTTTTACTTGGTAAAGTTGCATAACAAATTATTAAACTTGTATAACCTTATTATTAAAAGCACATAACACAGCTTTTAAATAATATTATTGTAATTTGCATGCTGTAATTGAAAATGGAAAATAGAATAAGCAAACTGGATGATGCAGAGAGGAAAAACTGTAACTACAAAATTTCAAATATTAATAAAAGTCTATAAAAATTTACTGAATGAATGTAGAAATTTTTTGGAGTTTCACACATCTTCGGATAACAAAATTAGTTAGGAAAATGACTTTGAAGATATTTGCACATTTTCTGAGACTGAGTTGAAAAAATCCACCACTGACCCCTACCAAGATTTCTATTTTTTGGCTCTCCATGCATTCACATGAATGTCAAAGAAAATAGGTGTATAATACAATTCTTAAAAGAATTTTTTTCATAATGATCTTATGTTTCTATACTAGAAACTAACACTATGCTGAACAATTATGTCAGAGAAATAACTTAATCAACAATCATGTTGAAAATATTCAACAGCCCATGACACCAAATGAAATTTATATGTTTTTTTTTTGCAATTTTTATACTGCAGGGTACTGTAAAAAAACACATACAACCAAAACGTCATTCCAGAAATGAATAAAATCTATTGCCATTGATAGATTGCCATCCCTTAAAACTTTTCTCTTCTACTGAAAAGAACCCCAAATTGACTCATCAATATGCAGTGAGCTGCTCTAATAAAAATGTAAAAGACAAAAAGATAAAAAACGAAACAAGATATTATCGTCAGGACTGTAGCGTAAAATTGTTCCTTTTGTTAATATATAATACCAAGTTGAAATATTATGTTGTAGTGAAACTAAATACAAAATAAGTTTATTACTTATACTGCATATGAAAAAACAGCTGACATTAAAGGGCTAATTTATGTATAAGAAGTTTACTACTCATACCTGTGTATTAAATTGTCAAAAAT